AGGAAGGAAGGAAGGAAGGAAGGAAGGAAGGAAGGAAGGAAGGAAGGGAAAGAAAGAAACCAGTATAAATTTGGACCTAATCAGTTGCCATTAAGTTTCATGCTACTGGAAAAAAGAAGACAAATCAAAACCACATTAATGAAAAGCAGTCTTGTTCTTATACATTAGCTACTGAAAAATAGCAGATTAAAAAGCATCAAGTGTGAGTAATTTGCTTACCCTGTGCGTTTGGTGATGGTCCCCAATGTCATTGGCTGCTTGATTTGTGCAAGAGGCCCCACTACCATCAAACTAGGCAGTGGGGAAAGTCTAGGGTTGCCAGGGTTGTTGTTGGTGAAATTGTTGTAGGAGTCTTGACTGTTTAGTTTTCCTTCAATGAGACAAAGAAATGACAGCATTAGCAAAGGATACTCTTCCACCTCTGAGGATACTGACTCTAAATCTACTCTTCTGAAGCAAGAAGTATTTTAATTCAAATTTGAATCCCAAATAATCTCTGTTAGAATCAAAGAATAAGAGCTAGAAAGGGTCTTATCTATCTCAATCCTATCATTATAGAAATGGGAAAATAAGGTCTAGAGAAATAAAGTCACTTCTTTAAAGTTACACAGCTACTAATTAACAGATCCAGGACTAGAAGACTATGAGATCTTCTGCTTCCTGTTGCAGTGTTATTTCCAACTCCAAGGAAAAAGTGGATCATCATCACTATGGATAATTTGGAGGCTAAACATTCTGATAGGCCATTAATGCATTTTCAGGATATGAAGTAAAATGTCCAGAAATTCTGAAGCCAAGTTTTTTTGGGATGGGTGGTTAAAATTCAGGTAATATTTTCTGAAATGATCCTATAAACTCTCATAACTTTAAATATGGATGGATTAAACAAATTAAATTCTTAAAAAGTAATACTGAATACAAAATAAAAACCCCACAATTGATTGCTTATAAGATTTATAAAAAGCAAAGATATACATAGAATAAAAAAGAGAGGCTCAAACATTTACAATGCACATAAGGACAAAAAAGAACAAGTTGGATTCATGCTATCAGACAAAAAAAAACATAAAAATTCATACAATATACCAAGAAAATTAAGGAAATTACATTATGTTAAAAGGAACCATAGACAAAAAACTAATATTGATATTAAATTGACAGATTTCAAATGCCATAGCATCTAAATTCATAAAGGAAACACTTACTGAATTACTAAAAGATATAAACAACAATAGCAGGAGACTTTAATGTTTCCCTCTCAAAGATGGACAAATCTAACAGAAAGATAAATAAAAAACAAAGAATTGATGAAATTGTTGAGGAATTTAGAGTTAAAGACTTATGCTGACTTCTAAATGAAACCACTAAAAAATACACATATTTCTCACCACCATTTTTTTCTCTGCATTTTTTAAGTTGACCATGTTAGGACACAAAGAAATTTCAAATAAATGTAAAAAGCACAAAATATTCAGCATATCCTTTACAGATCATAATAAAATAAAAATTAATTCAAGAAGCACAAACAAAAAACATATACCTAAATGGAGACTATTTAAGGATTCCTAAATATCAAAAAGATCAAAAAATAAATGATACTAGGAATAATTATGTGAAAGAGATAATAATGGGACAAAATATCAAAATTTCTCAGATATAGCTAAAGCAGAACACAAAGGAAAAATCATATCCCTAAAAACATAGATTAACTAAATGATTATAGAGCTGGAGTATGGTGTAACAGAGAGAGAGCGAGAGAGAGAGAGAGAGAGAGAGAGAGAGAGAGAGAGAGAGAAGGATTTAAATCTCAGCTCTGGCATTTAGCAATTTGGTGACATGGACAAACCAAACTCTTCTGGGTCTCAGTTTCCTCATCTGTAACTAAAGACTACATGAGATAATATATGGAAAGTATCTGGTAAACCTTAAAGTATAACATATGTCAGTTTCAAAGATCTAAAATCATTGTATTAGGTAAGGAATGTAATTGTTCTATGAATAACTTCATTTGTTCATAAAATTACGTTTCATTTACTGGTAGATGTGAATACTTGGGGGAATAAAAAAATTGAACTTGAAATGTCTGAAATTGGGGGGGAAACTAAAAAAAAATTTTATAAGAATTTTTTTGCTTTTGGGTCACCCTTCTAATTAGAAGACCTGAAGTCAGAAAGATAGGAGTTCAAACATCACAACTGGCAAGATGGCCCTAGCATTTCCTTAATGGTGAACCTGGCACTCAGCATTTCTCAATTCTGCTACTGGTCAAAAAAAATCATTGTCTAGAGCACGGGTGGGGAACCCATGGCCTCGAGGCCACATGTGACCCTCTAGGTCCTCAAGTGCAAACCTTTGACTGAATCCAAACTTCAAAGAACAAATCCAAGGCTATATGTGGCCTCAAGGCTAAAAGTTCCCCATCCCAGGTCTAGAATACCAACCCAATTACCATCTGGTTCCACACTAAATTGTGATATTGGTTTATCGAGACTGGAAGCCAAGTTCACCCACTCTTAAAGAACAAGATGGAAACCAAAGACAAATAGCTACAAGTTTTATAATATTCTTGGGAGTAAGCTCCCATTTAACCATATTCCCAGTTTTGATTGCTTTTTGTTATCACCCTGTCACTACCACCTTTCAGCCTTCAACCACAAAAGCAATGGGCTACAAATTACGCAGGCGGGAAGAAAAGAAATGTAAAGAAAGCAGAGAAGGAAAGAAAGGAAACAATGCAGGAGCCAGCCAGCTTATAATAGAATCAAGGGACTTTAAAGAGACAAGCCATGGTGAATTAGAAGGTTTAGATCATTAACTTGTTTTTCTCTGTTTCCATAATGCTGTGAAATGTCGGCTTTGTCTCCAGTCAAAGGGAGGCCATATTGGGAATTAGGTTCCTAAACAACTGGGGCATTCTAAAGAGACATTACACAAACCCCATGTCAAATCCATACAGGCTGGAGTGAAGAGGGTGCTTTAGATGTCAAACCCACTACACCCCCAGTGCAACCGCCTTTTTCCAAGGAAGAATAACAGTACGAAAGAGTTCCCCTCACAGGAAGCAGACTGAAAAGCCATAATGGCACTTTAAATGGATTGAAGATGGAAGGAAAAAAAAAAACTTTAATGAATTTCTCATCTTTCTAAAGACACTCAATGCTTTCTTTGCCCTCTCCTCAGGGTCATTTAATTCAACATAACTGGTAGCTTACTGGCCTTTCCCTCACTCCGTTCTTTCCATTTCTTAACCTCTGCACATGGCATTATACATTCAGGAAAACTAATGCTCCAAAAGTATCTCAAGATTTAAAAAGTTAGTTTGGCGATCTGGTTTTTGTTTACCATTACCCTGATACAAGACAGACTGGAATGGTAACAATCTATTGTCTATCACAACTGATCCAGGAGACAAATGATTTATAGTAAGAATTTTACATAAAGAGTTAATGATGAAGAGAATGGGCAAAACAAGACAAAATGAAAAATATTAAAAAGGCAGAGAAGGTTCCTATTTGTTTTAAAAAATCCTTTCAAGATTCACATGTTAGTAAAGCTAACAAGAGCTAACTTGCTCATATTTTGGATTAGGTCTCAATTTTTTTTAATAAGATAGGCATTGCTATAACCACACAGAACTCATTCACTTGAATGAAATTAGTGCTTAGATGCAGCCAGGTAACCTCAAGCCAAAACTGCTCCATGGCTATTCTTTCCTTGTATAAAGAGTTTAGGAAATCTCTAATGAAAATGAAACTTATTTCACCTACTTCTGATAGATTAAGGAACAACCAGAAGCGGCTTCAGGTTAAAAATTGAGCTCCCTAGAGTTGAGGCAATTCTAATCTGAAGCTTTCAGATCTTTGTTGTCAACCTTCTACTCTTCAGTAAAGGAGCAATATCAGTATAACCCAGTTAAATTAACTCAAGGAATTCATGCTACCATTACAGATGACAACTAAAGAATGTCACATGTACCAAATTACTAAGACATAGATAGACACATAGATAATCACAACTTTTATTACCCTACAATTCTTTTGTCATTTAAAGAAACATCATGAGAACTGCAGTTTTAATTGTTCCAAATCATGACTTTCTGACTTCTAACAAAAAATAATGTTTTAAATGATTTGGCTAGTTGTGAGTAGTAGGATGTAAGGTGAGGACAGAATGGAAATTCAAAGAAAGCTTCTTAAGCAACATCTTATTTCCAGAAAAGAAGGAGACAGACCTTGCCACACTCAAGATAGCACAGCATTTATCTTAAAGAATGACTCAGGCAGGAAGTACTTATAAAGTTAGCTATAGAAGCGTCAGAAATGTAAAGGGACTATGGACTTTTTCTTTCTTTTTATCATCAAAGCATGAAGGTAGCCTCCAGAATTTAGGTAACGATTTAACCAAATGCTCCACATCCCCAGGATAGCAAATGGATGTTTTTACAATACCCAACGGATATTTTAACTGAAACTTCAACAAATGCTACTCTAACAAAACAAGGAGAAGAATAAGAATCTCAGGCACAGAAAATGAAGGTTGATTTCCCCCTCATTTCTCTTTCAGAATTCCTATTAAAGTTAATGGAAGTTGTCTACATATGTCAAGGCGATAATTAAGGGCAGCATTCACAATGTATACAGTTCATGGAGGGTAGCTAAATATATTATTTTTAAAATGCTAATACTAAATAAACAAACCAGAAAAAAAGGGGTGGGGGAGGGAGGAGGCAAGTAGGTGGTGCAGTGGATAAGAGCATTGGCCCTGAAGTCAGGAGGACCTGAGTTCAAATCTGGTCACAGACACTTGACATTTAATACCTGAATAACCCTGGGAAAGTCACTTAACCCTGACTGCCTTGCAAATAAATGAATAAATGAATGAATACACAGAACAGGCAGAGTATCTAGGTGGCACAATGAATAGAATGTCAGGGCCGGAATCAGAAAGACATGAGTTCAAAAGCAAGTTGAAATACACATTAGCTTTGTGACTCTGGGCAAGTCACTTAACCCTGCTTGCCTCAGTTTCAACATTTGTAAAATGATCTGGAGCAGGAAATGGCAAACTATTCCATTATCTTTGCCAAGAAAACCCCTAAATGGGGTCACAAATAGTTGGACACGACTGAAATGACTGAACAATAACAACAACAAATATACAAACTATGAAGGAAGTCTAACAGAATATTTGTGGGACAGAGGAAGTGGAGGAGAAGGAAGTGATAGGAACCAGAATATAGATGGTGAATCTAGGCAGATACAGGGACGGTGATATGCAAAGATAAAGCTTAGGGATACAAGTGGAAGCTAATGTTCCATGACCGCTGGCTTCCCTGTAAAGTAAGAGGAAAAATTACTTAAACAATCAATA